GCCCTGGTTGTGGGGAGGGCGTGTCATTCGGGTAGGTCAGGTGATCTCTGGGCACAGGGACAGTGGCCTCCATTCCTCTCCCACTCCCAAGACTATATATGGTCTCTCTGGAGCAGCACTCGGTGAAGGAAAGTCCGGGTGAGCCTGCGGGGCTGTGCGGCAGGCGGACTCTGAGCACAGATGAAAGCCATGCCGAGTGCTGGGCGGCATCTGTCCTCAGGGCCAGGCGCCTTGGGAAAGACTCCAGCAGCTCTAAATTACTTGGCTATTTAAAGCTGTGGTAGGGGCTGGGTGGCCTGGCCTTTTCTATCTTTCGGTGCAGACTGAAGACCCAGCCCCATTTAGCTCCTGGGCACTCGGTTTTATGTCAGCTCTTGGCTATGGTCAGGGGTCAAGGCCCGGCGCCCTCCCTCTGTCTCCCCTCTCCAGAGCCCCCCAGCCCGGGGCTGCTCCTGCCAGCACCTGGTGCGGGCTCTGACTCTTCCAGCTGTGGGGCCTCCTCCAGCTGCCACTGCTTTGCAAATGGTGCAGCATTTACAAATCCTACCTCATCTTCACCTCCAGCCACAACCTTCCCTGCCTCCGCAGGCCTGGAACATGTGGGTCATTGGCTACGGGAACATCTGCACTTACTTCTGGCCATGAGTGGATGCCACCTGTTTACCTGTCCAGTGCAGAGGCTGGCTCTTCTATGTGAAGAGGCCTGGCCTCCTGGGCTTATTTGGTTTGGTGCCCACATCCTAAGGAGGCAGCTCATCCATCCTGTAGGTATCATGCCCAACAGTCAAGCCATGAAGCTCCTTATATGTAGGCCTTGTGGTGCTTTCAGTGAAGGAGAAATGCCCCAGGAGGCAACCAGGGCTCTGGGCAGATCCTTCTTCCCCATGAAACTGCAGGCAAGCGTGGGAGCTGGCCAGGGGCTGGGCCCAGCCTGGGTCTTCTGGAAGCACGTGGCACTGCAAAGGTCTGGTGGACCCAGCTGCAGAAAAGTGGCTGAGCGGGAACATCAGAGGGACCGGGAATGCTCTTCACAGCAAGGCTGGTGATAGTTTTGTTTCCTTGGGTGGCTGCTGTGTGTAGGTGAGATTGATTGCACCAAATCTTTTTTGCAGTTTTTGGCAGTTATTTGTTCTTTTCTGGATGTTACAAGCAGAAGCCGGTGGGTCTCATAATGAGTGGGTTGGTGGCAAAAAGCAGTGGGAGCTAGGTGGTCTCTGAGCCACGGGGTGGCAGTAGGGAGGGTACCCGCCTTTGACAGGAGGTGTGGCCAGCGGTCCCAGCTTGCCCCTCGTGGGTTAAACTGCAGTGCAGCTCGCTCTTTGCAAGGACCGTGGTGGTGTCAGATGAGCACGGGTTCTGTCTTCCTCCTCCCAGGGATCTTCACGGCTCCATATGACGGGCGCTACCTGATCACGGCCACCCTCACCCCCGAGAGAGAGGCCTATGTGGAAGCTGTCCTGTCGGTCTCCAACGCCAGCGTGGCCCAGCTGCACACAGCGGGGTACAAGAGAGAATTCCTGGAATACCACCGTCCCCCCGGGGCTTTGCACACTTGTGGAGGCCCAGGGGCGTTCCACCTCATCGTGCACCTGAAGGCGGGGGATGGCGTCAACATCGTGGTGACGGGGGGCAGGCTGGCCCACACGGACTCTGATGAAATGTACTCCACATTCAGCGGGGTTTTCTTGTACCCCTTCCTTTCCCACCTCTAGGGTGGCTGGGAGAGGTGGGGAGAAAGATAGTTGTAAAAACTCTGAAGCTTTAATATATTTAGTGTATGTATGTAACTGGAGCACTGGTCTAGAGTTTTCTGTGGAAATCCCACCACCTGCCCCAAGAGAAAGGCCTTACCTCGCTGTGAACCTGCCACACCTTATAGCTTCTGGGAAGGCAGGAGTTAAACACATGGTTAATGTGGCCCCTGATTTTTCTGTCACTTTAAACTGGAAAACTGGAAGACTTGGAAAGGCTCCCCTCACCCCCTGCCTGGAAGCCAGGACCACCCCCCTCTGTCTTCCCAGCCTCCAGCTCTGGCTCCACTCCGAGGGGTCCTGGGCTGGACCTCCATGGTGCCTCCCTATAGGGCCAGGCCACAGGACCGTGTCCTGCTGACGGAGAGGAGCAGCTGCTGGGCTGTCGGCCGGTGGCTGGTCTTTCCGGGAGAACAACACTGTAGCTGCTGTCTCTGTCTTCACACTGCGTGCAGCAGGAAAGTTTAAACACTGAAGCGCTGGAGTGGCCCGTGCCACCACACAGAGACCTAGAGTTGACAGTTTGGCTGTGCCATGCTCTGCTTACAACCGGCACCTGGGCCTTGTCTCTGCTCGCCGGGCCTTGGCCCAGCCGCAAAGGAGAAGGCACTAGAGCCTGTTGATGAAGCCTGTCAGGCTCCTCACGTAACATGTACAATTTAAGTGCAAAGATGGAGTTGTCAATAAAGATTTAAAACCCGTTCAAGTGACTTTTCTGAAGTTTAGTGCATTATGCATTGGGAGCTGTTGCTAAAAAGCATACTGTAGAAAGGTGGTTGACTTTTTAATGATGGCAGAAAGTGATCTTGAATGCATTAATCTCAGTTATAAGACTGTTACCTTCAGCATCCATGCTGTACACTGGGTTCTTCTGGCTCGTAAAGGCAAACCAGATGTGCCTGAGGCCAGGGTCCCCCAGGCATGCTGCAAGCTCACATCTAACTAGCAGCTGCCAGCTAAAGAGGCCAAATCCTCAGTGAACTCACTAGCGACACAGCTTTAGGAACTCTCAGGTTCCTAGGCAACCACAGGCCCAACACTAAACTGACCACATGCTGAAAGCTGAGATCATCTGAGAAAGCAGGGATCTTCCCATAGCGAGCACGTTCTGATCTAAGGGGAACCCAGGCCCGTTCATCCTCCACCAGCAGCCACAGAAACTTCTAGGCACCTTAGCGCAAGTTGGTCTTTGCTAATCAGGCTGGTAAAACAGAGGTCAATCAAGTACCGCTGGGAAAGGCAGGTACCCCAGAGCCCCAGGGAAAGGTCTGGACGGTGGAAGCCAGAGCTTCGGCTTCTTTGGCCTGCACTGAGACATTCAAAGATGCTCTTATGCTGTAAAAATGTTTAGAGTTTCAAGAACTGTTGGCAAATTGAATACCCCCTCCTCCAGCTAGGGAAAAGTGAGCAAGGCTCAAGGCTTGCTGTCTTACTATTTTAAAATTTGGGCCTCCTCGTCCAGGAGGGGGAGGGAGAATGGTGTTCTCTCTCCTTGTTTCTACAGCTGGGAATTGGCCAACTGTGGCTGTCAGAGTACCCTTGGCCACTCCAGCAATTTCTGTGACTCCTGGGAACAAGCCCAGGGCAGTGGAGAGCTTTCAGGAAAGCCCAGTTGGCGCGTGCCCACTTTCACCCTCTCTTCCCTTACACACGCCCTTTACAGACCTCACTCAGTGCCAAAGGGACAGACGCTCGATAGCAGGAAAGGCAGGGACCAGACAGAAGGTAGGAACCAACTGTTTTTTTTTTTTTTTTCCTATTCCATAGATGGTTTAGTGCATCTTGACTCATTTACCAAAGAGGTGAACTTCAGCTGCATATCCAAGATAGAGAAAGCCTGACTACAGCAGGATCCTGCACTTACTTCAAGATAGGACAGTATGAAAGCTGGATCCTGGCCCACTTAGGAGACAGCATCTTTAGAAAGGGAAAGGCTGTCTTTTTGTACAGAACAAAAACAACAGGGTCAGCTGAGCTCTAAGGCTGGGGTTCGGAGCAGCCCCTTCAGATAAGGAAAGACAGAACTGGGGCCTTTTCTTCCCACATGTAACTCTAGCACATGGTCTCATTTAAGTGATCAAGAACAAAAGGATAGTTGCTGTAAAGAATGCCAATCAATGCCAACTGTATCTGAGATAATTTCCAGGTGAGCACATCATTCTAGCTTTTCCCAGTGCCTGTCATTTCTCAGCCTGCTTCTCATGCTTTATCTGCAGCTGGAAAGGAGGGCTTGTGCTCCCAGACATACCGAAGTCTATGCCTGCAGATGTGAAACATGGCTTTGTGCACACCCACGTCAACTTTTTAATCATACATCATCCTCCTTATACCATCCTGTCAGTGTGGAAAGGAAAAAGGAAGGACAGGTGCCAGCTCCAGGGTGCAGCATGTGGCAGGAGGCTGTAATGGGCTTCTGAGCTCAGGGACAGGACACCTGCCCACTGCTCCTCTCTGAAGCACTTGTAGCCGTTCAGGGTAAAAACCATTTCCTTTACAATCCAACTCCCGGTCAGAGCTCTTCCTCTCTATTCCCAAAGCCGCATGGTTCCCATAAGCTCAGCCTCATGTCGCAGTGCAGCAGCGTGAAACGTGAAACCTTTCCATGCCAGAAGCATGACTTGTGGAGGGACCGAGTCAACACACCCTACACGTGCTGCATCTGGGAGGAATACAAAGATATTTAGATACTATGGCGGATGTGGATTCTTTTTTTTTAAAAGATGACCGGTAAGGGGATCTTAACCCTTGACTTGTTGTTGTCAGCACCACGCTCACCCAGTGAGCTAACCGGCCATCCCTATATGGGATCCAAACCCGTGGCCTTGGTATTCCTCAGCACCACACTCTCCCGAGTGAGCCACAGGCTGGCCCCGGATGTGATTTCTGATCAAAGATCACTTCAGCTCTGGACACCCTGTGGAAGGCTTTAATGAAAGAAGGGGTGTCAATGGCTCTGCACGGGGCTTCCAGGGGAACTCAGGGCTGAGGGGTAGAAGGTAAACACGGCCTTGTGAGACTACACCAGAAATTACATGAGTCACTGTCTGGCAGAAGCTACGCAGCAAGAGAGCTTAGTTTCTGACACTTTTGGAGTCAGGTTTTAAATATAATTACCAAAAACCAGTCCCTCCTGTAAACCAGTTTAAGCATCGGCTAAGACCAAAATGCTAATGTATGAAAATTATCAATTTCTGGCAAGAGTACAGAGAAGATGGTTTAAATGTTCCCTGAAGGAAAGAGCCAAGTGCATTCAGTTTATGTTTGTTTATTGTAACATTTTGTTTTGAACATCCAACACTGCACCAAAATATGAGCCATTCATTTTAAGACAACTGTCTTTACCATAACTAAAAGTACTGTACTGATGTTTACAATTAACTTCTGACAACTTAAAACTTATTAGTGACATTGCTAATAATCAAATACTTCATCACAGGCTGAACATAATTATTAAATTAAGAGAGCAAAGTTTCCCGTCTTTCTTACCTTCAAACCAAACCAAAAAGGCAGTTTTCACCTGGAAAGAGCACTTATTTTAAGGAAAAACTTAATTTTTAACCAGTTTTATTAAACCTTGCATGCTCTAAAATATGGGAAAACAAGGCTTCCCAGAGTAAATATGATACTTGAAAAGATAAAATTCTCTGGAAGAGTCAGTTTTCACCAACTTGCAAAAAGAGAAGGAGCTTACTTCTTTCCAGCTGTTTATTCTTCAGAAGGTCTTACCTGTACCTTCAAGGGCAAACTGTAGAGGGCACCTGCCAGTCTGTCAGCTCTGCTTCTCAGCAGTTCTCCCTACGGTGTTTTAGCAGCTCTCATTTCACACTAGTAAGTTTTTTCTTTTTCCAGTTGAAAACTATGCAGATGTTTTTTAAAAAGCAAAGCACAGTACTCAGACACAGGGGCTCAGTTTGCATGCTCCTGCTCCACGCGTGTACCACGCACAGTCCCAATGAGGCAGATGTCGCCTTTTGCAGCAGTACCAGCTTTGACATGTGGACATCAAAGCGAATATGACAGGATGAACTGCAAAGAGACAAAGGGGCTTTTCCCCCCAGTGGAGTGACTGACAGAATGACATAGAAGAGCCCAGTCTGCCTGTAATCTCCCTGCGACATCACCCACCACTGAAGACAGTGCGAGGGTGATGCTTCAACTTGCCTCCTAAGGGTTTGTGTACAAACACACCCGAGGGCATCTCTCTTTCACAGAAAGAACAAATGTCATTTGTACCAAATGGCAATGGATTTTCAGCACAAACTTAATATTTTCATAGCACTACAGCAATAGTAATCATCTACTTTCAGCAAGAGGGACTCCTTTAAACAAGGAAAAAGACTCACATTAATTGGCCTATATACCCACTGGATCAATCTGCAGTGACAAAGTCTAGAGCTAATGGACACTGGGACAGAGAACCAGGCACCCTTAACTCAGGGCCGGGAGATCCAGGTCCTTGGCTGGACCCCCTAAGAAAGCCCACTTGTCCAAAGAAAAGAGCTTGTCAAGAAAAAGAAACAAGCTATTAGTCAAAAACACTTTAAATGACAACCTAAAAAGACTAAAGAAGATATATATTAAGATTTTTCCATACTGCATATAAGCAAGGAAGTCCTACTAAGCTCAGCCTAAGTGCATAAAGCTCTCGTTCTTCCTCTAAATCAAAGGTGGTCATGAGGATGTGCTAACAGCATCTACGAAAAAAGTAACCACATGGCTGCTCTACGAGAATTTTAATTCACTAACTGGGCAGAACTTCATATAAACATAACCTAGTTTCCCTAACCTACTGTACATAAATAAACCCATTAAACAATTAGTTCTGGCAAACTATTCAAGCAGGGAAGGTATGCACCGGAAGAAGCTTGTTTGGTCCCTTCTCTGGGAACACGTGCCTCCAGGTTTTGCCACTGAGAATTGTGTTCAAGGGATTTCACCACTGCCTCTGCATCCAGCAGCACTAGGCAACACGGCTGACATCAGTCAGGAACTTCCAACTCTCCAATCTGGAAAAATAACCACCCTTACTTCTCCATCTCCAATCAGCATTATTTTGGGTGAAGCAAAACTAAAACCAGAAGAGGTCTCCATTACGGCTGCAGGGGCACACAGAGTTGGAAACGAAACCAGCCCAAGGGCGTCACGTCTGTATCTGCAGTTCCTTCCCTGCTCAGGAACATCTCCTCCTATGTCCCCACCAGTGGAGGACGATAACCGGAGCTTGCTCCTGGTCCCCTGAAAAGTTTCCTAACAGTCCTCAATGACGTTAATATGCAGTGACTTGTGTCACCAGCTGATCACAAGATCTGGAGAAGCTGACAGCACACAACCCTTCCCAGGTGCCGTCTGTCCAGATGTAAGCTCATGACAACCAGGTCAGTCAGTTAACGGAGCTGCCATGTGTATTTCAGTAAAAATACATTGGGCCTTCCGCATCCCCGTGGGATCTCACAAGGCAGCCTCTGCACTGCTGACCGCAGAAGTACCCCAGCTGACGGAGAACTCAGAGTGGTGGCCTGGGGACACTAAGGGGCAGTCTGCTCAACAGGGTTCCAGGACCACTTTCTCATGAGGCTTCCACGGCTTTATTACACAGCTGTGATTCCAAATGCCACAGTACATGTTGCTGGCCCGTAGCCTTCAAGCAAGCTTCACTGTGCTTCCCTGACAAATCTGAAGCACAGAATTTAAGAAATCCTGTCCTAAAGCAAGACACCCAAAGGCCCACCTAAGCCAGGCAATAGGCAGAGGTACAGAGAAAAGATCTGTTCCCAGGACCAAACTCAACTGGATTTTTGCATTTCTGAGGCCTCCCTGACAACAGTTGTTGGGCTCGTTTCTTTCAAAACCCAGCTTCCCGTTATTAGTACTTTTATCACAGACATCAGATATATACCTGCAAAATCTGCTCTTCTGGCTAGATCTAAGAAATAACTTAAAGGTCTGTCATTATGGAGCAGTTACAGATTAGAAAACAATGATCTGAGGGAAGCCACATCTGTGGGGCAGGGCTCAGTGGCTCTGGTGTGTGGGCCCTGGGGTCCTGCCCAACTTGGCCCACTGGAGCAGCCGTCTTATTCAGTGAGGCAGGACAGGAGGTGCCCAAAGGAGACACATGCACAGGTGGTTCAGCCAACACCCCCACCTGGCCTTTAGCAGCTCAGTGGACCCTGATCCTCTGAAGAAACACTGGTTACAGAGAGAGACCATCTCGACTGCCCAGTGGAAATTATAACACTTTACTTTGTATAGCGTTTTGGTCCACTCTATTTTACCTTCTTTTTTCTTCCTTTTAAATTATGCACTCAGAGGAGCGCCCGGTGCACAACTAGACAGGAAGCACGTGGGAGGGCCCATGTGAGACAGAACACAGGCCTCTAGCCCCAGGTTGAGCTCCTTCCTCCCCCTCCTCCTGGGCGCTGCGCTGCAGACCCGCCAAGCCTGATCGGCTGGCCTGGGAAGGCAAAGGAGGACGGCGCTGCCAGCTCCAGGAGCCCCCGTCCCTGCTTGGAGAGCTGGTGCCCGGCAATCAGCCCCCTGTCTTTGGTCCGCAGAAGGGCATTCTCTTGCCTATAGGTGAGTGACTGAGGCCCCCACAGGAGGAGGCCCCTACCAGAGGTGCCACCTCAGGCCAGGTCGTCCAGGTTCACTTCAGGGATCGGGTCTCGCCAGTAGCAGAAGGAGCTGAACTCTGGGCAGGGAAAGGCGGAATTCTGTTCCTTATTGAGAAGTGGAAACACGTGCTCCACGAGCTCGCTCAGCCTGTGATACCTAGGAGAAGGGAATGGGGACAGATGTAGACTATTACTTCCAAACTGATCAAAGGCACAAGATCATGGGCTGTGAAGCTGGTTATTCAGATTCCTCAGACAGGCAGGTGCAGAGACAGGCCTCTATGCCATGGCACAGACTTCCCCTTACAAGTCTAGGATAACTAGGGATCCTTTAAAAAGCTATTTTGGAGGAGACAACACCCAAAAAGAGGGTGCAGCTCTGATCCCTGGAGCTGGTGCTGAGCTCAGCTAGTATTTGTCTGTCTTCAACTGCACCCCTGGCTGCAGGGCGCTGGGCCGAAACTGCGAATGCACTTACGATGACTTGTTTCCTTTGGTCCTTTCTTGTATTAATTCACCCTTGGGGTTCACGGTGAATATTCTGCAGTCTGGAACTCCAACTTGTGTGTAAGCATAGACATCCTACAGAAAACATCGAGCAGGTGATTACAGGGAGAAGAAACTACGAGATGCTTCTCTGGTTCCTGTGAGCCAGCGCCTGGTGTAAACAGAAGACTTTATGGAAAACACATGGAGCTGGGCACAGCACAGTTTTGCCACTGAAATTGAACTTTAGACAAACCCTGACTAAAGAGTGGTGCCAACCCCAGAGGGTTCTCTGAGAGTCAGAAAATGTGGGTAGCCAAGAAGGAGAAGCCAGGGGCCCTGGAGCAGGAAAAGGCCAGGAAGTGATGCCTGGGATCTGACAGCCTCATAGGATGAGAGGTGGGTGGGAGGTGGATGGGGGACATGTTTACGAAGGGTGAGCATCATGCCATGGTTCTCGGGTGGATATAAGGACACAGCTTAGAACCACTCAGAAAGTGAGTCACAGCCACCTGAGGAAATGGAATTGAAGCCACAGATACAAAGAAAAAGCATCCTTCTTTATAGATTCTGGGGTAGATCTGCACCTACAGGACCTCCCCAGTCGCTACAGAAATCTGGAACAGATCAAGTTACAGCCCAGGAAGCAGACCATTTTGCTTACACTTCATTCTGCTTACAAAACTGGCTTGAGAATCATGACAGGGCGATACCCTAAAAAGTACCTCCCTCGGACTGTCACCCTCATCAGGACCAGAGCCCAGGAGACACTTACATTTGGACGGTTTCCAAAGGCAGCATAGAAGGGCCGCCAGGACGGGGCAAACAGGTTCCTGATGTCATTCAGACACTCAATCTTGAACTTCTCCGGTTTCTTTTCTATCACTTCCCTAAGAAAAAAATACAAATACCATAACCAAATTCAAAACGGTAGTTCTCCATTGTGTACGGCCCTGAAAAAACTGTAGTGCTCACAACCACCCAATTTTTCTAATCCTTTGTAACTAGTGTGTTTCTTTCTGCTCCTTTGCCAGTGTGATGACTAAGAACATTTGAGTGATGGGCTTTAGGGAAGGAGAATGCTACTCCTAGAACCTGACTTTCCTCACCATGTTTGACACAGGCGAAGTGAGCTGTGTGTGTTAGGACATGAAGAGGGAGCCAAGGGACACAGAGGGACGCGGCAGCTCTGAAGCAGACAGACTCTGGGCGAGGCACTCATACCCACTCTGCTGGGGTCACCCCACCCACACGCGCCCAGGCCAGGAGGGTGCCTGCTGGGATGTACCTGTGGAAGGCGGAGAACAGGCTGCTAGGGGACAGCATCAGAGGGCCCCGGGGTCACCCCACCCACACGCGCCCAGGCCAGGAGGGTGCCTGCCGGGATGTACCTGTGGAAGGCGGAGAACAGGCTGCTAGGGGACAGCATCAGAGGGCCCCGGGGTAGGATCGTGCCCTTGTCGTTGACCCAGTGCAGGTAGCCGCGGGTCATGTCGGCCATGCCAATGGCTCGGGCTGAGCAGTACAGAAACTTGTAGCCATTCCTGAAAGAAAACACATCCTGTTTGGGCCACATATTTTGGCTTAAAAAAAAAAAAAAAAAGCACTTTACTTTCAAAAGATCCAAATAAAGTTCCTCTCATTTACTGTGAAAATCAAATTGTTGAATTTAGCAGAAAACTAGTTGGGATTATAAGGATTTCACCTTTCCATGGAAAATGCCATAGGGGGGGGAAATGGAGGTACATGCAACTGGAGATTAGGCTAAACTTACAAGTATTGGTATATTATATTCAGTATCTAGTACACAAAAGCCAGATTAGAGAACACACAAAAGCCTTGGACTATCTTTAAATTATCTACTACAAAGGAAAGACATAAGAGTTGTTATGTATAGGGATACTTTGCAGAACACAAACAATTCTGTAAGATAAGGAGCAAAATTACACGTGGGTAACTGACATATTCATAATTTTCATGGTATGGCATTCTTAACTAATGCGGAAGACGCTGCAGTTCTTCAAATCAATTTAATGTATGTACTAGGATCCCACAAAGAACATGGCACTGTTTTCCCTCAGAGGGTGCTCTCAGACAGAGCACCCCATGGGTGAACCGTTTCCCCCACGCATGCATGTACCACCCACTCAAAGAAATGCAATTTAGAAATACTCAGTAAATAAATCAATGGAAAATCATCTCTCTTGTTAAATTCTAGCTAAGATAAATAACTTTAGCTATAATTACAGATATAGGCAATGCCTGAAGAACACGGCGCTGTGATAATTAACTGGGATTATACCGGTAAGTATGTGATGCATGCCAGGCACACGCAGCTCATGTTCCATAAGCGGTACCACCGCTTCTCTAGGTGGAGTCATGGGGAAAGGAGGGGAAGGAAGAGCAGTAATAGCTAGGCACAAACAGGTGCTCTACATGGACTGATGTGATGATCTGTGCTATTTCTCTACAGATCTCAGTCAAAGCAAAATTCTAGTTGTTTACAGCAAGGTGACATGTTGAAACCAAAACCTACTCGTTGATGGAATGGTAGAGCTTTGCTATACCCTGATGGGTCCAGTCTTTACCCAGCTGTGGGAGAATCTGTCCCAAAGCATCAGACCTAAGAAGAAAGCAGAAATAGGGAAAGGTTATCAGGAATCGAACACATAAAGCCATGTGTTTTCCTATTTGGGTAGGTATCAGATGCTAATAGACCCTGGGTGGGGGAGTGGGAGGGGAGACCATGTGGCGGTCCCCTGCAAATACGCCAGGGAGCGCTTCTAACAGTGCAGTCCATGAGAGCCAGATGTTCATTTTCAGAGATAATTTACAACCACACATCCTCCTTTTCTTCTCTTTAATCTCAACAGCTTATTTTCTTTTAATGTCTTAATTTGGAGACCAGGTAACTAAACCTTTCCAAAAGTTGTTGTTTGTTTTGGTGGGGATCTAAACCCTTGACACTGGTGTTAAAACACTGCACTCTAAACAACCGAGCTAACTGGCCAGCTCCCAAAAGTTATTTCTGACGTTCCATTTGTATGGCTCCGCCCATATCCTCCATCCGTAATATGACTTTGCGTAGACTACATTCAGGATGTCTCAGGACTTACGGTTTAAAAAATGCTCCCGACTGTGGCTGGAGGACCCAGGTGAGGTCCCCCCCACCCCACTCCCACCGCACACTAACTACCCCTCCCCGAGCCCAGGGCTGCTCCCTGCTTCCCACAGTGGGGTTGAGCTTACTTGGTTATTGTCCCATCGATATCGGAAATGACGATCTTGTCATTCCAGTTCCACAGGTAAATGGTCCCTGCACAGCGGCAGGTACCCTGATACTGGGTGGTAATACTAAATACGACATCATTTGGGCCATCATGGAGCTGCAGTTTTGCCTTTTATGGAAAGCATAAGAATAAAGAGAATCAGCTGAAAATGTACAGTGTAGAACAGAGTTTAAAATTTACAAAACAATAACCAGTTTTGAGACTCCAGCCACCTCGAGGCCGGCTGGTGTCTTCGGCATTAGTACACAAACCGGCCCAGTGATGACAAGACGGGCTGAGGCGGCCACTGCCCGTACTGCGTCGGGATTCCAAGGACTTCTCTGATCCCTTACAAAACGAAACCTCTCCGCTCTTCCTCTACCCCCGAGAATCAATGCCTTGGCCACCACCTCCTGCTGGTCCCAGCAAGACCATTTCACATTGAAAATGGGTCACAGTCAGGGTGGGAAATAAACAAAAAAAGGGGAAACTGTGCCTAAAATGTCATTTCTCTATTGTTGTGGCTCCAAAGAGCCAAGAACATGGCCCAGTGCTGGGTTAGCTGTGTAAGATTCACCAGGGAAACGTGAAGAATACAGACTCTTCAGTTCACTCCAGAGGTTGAGGCAGGAGGTCTGGGGGTGAGTGGAGGAGCCCGAGTCACAGGTTCCCCAGTGGGCCTGAGGGTTCCCCAGGGGTGGAGGACTCTGTACCATGATATGTGAGCATTTATGTGACACACACCATGCAGTCGGTGTATGGCGGGGGACTGGGGTAGACAGAAGAGGAAGCGTGTCAAATTAAAGTTACTATAATTAAGCCCTACTGGATCCACACGGGTCACACATGACTCACAATCTGGTCTGAGGAGAGTCGGAGCGACTTCTTATACGAGGTCGTGCTGCCATGGCTCAGGGGGTCCGTGGGGATGGGGTCTGCTTTGATGGAGTCTTCGAGCTCCTGTGACCCCTCGTCACTCGATGAGTCTTCCTCGGCTGGCCTGTTCAACATCAACCCAGTTACTGAGGAGGCAGCAAGGCATTTTATTGATGAGAAGTTTTCATTTAGGATCGGGAAAATAAAGATATCCTAAATCCTTTCCAGGGATATGAAGAGTTGTTTCCTGTGCCATTCTCCCATATCTACAGTTTCTTATGCATGAAAGATTCATGTCATTAACTGACAAGGCTGCCTTCCTCCTCCCTCACACACTTGGCAGCAGGGACTTTCTGGCTATGCCCTATTATTTTCTGCTGTGCCCAGTGAACGCTACGAGGCCTACTGACTCTTGTTGAAAAGGATATGTATGTTTCAAAACGTACAAATTTTAAAAAATGTAATTACTTATACTGATTTATTTTATACACCCTTTAAAATAGAAAATAAAGAATAAGAAAATAAACTCTCAGGCTTAGGCCACTGAATTAAGAGTTAGGGGACAGGAGAAGAAAGAACTGGATTGGGGAAAGTACACTGATGGCAGAGACCAGGACGGAGCACAGCACAAGCACCTCTTCTCAGGGCTGGCCAACCCAAGTGTCCAAAGGAAATGAAATGCACCAAAGCCACCCTTCGGATTCTTCTGATAGAAAGCAGGGGGAGCAGGGGCAGCAGGGATAATCCCTGGACATTCCTTATGATCCCTTCCCAAAGTCCTACCTTTCCCGCATGCCTCCATGATGTAGGCAAGGTATTTAGGAAGCAGCAAGGAGTACATTTACTCCTCTACGCTGATAATATTTTTTAGAAAAGCAGAAATTGTCATCTGCTAACTAAGTTGCACAAACAAATCATTTATTGTCTCTATAGGAGAAAAACGCTTCTGACTGACAATTAAATACAGTTGCCAAGATCAACTTAGAGGCAACAGCCAAAGCAGTAGCCCAAGTGCTGTGAGCTGGGAGGAAGGACCCTACCTGGCACCAGCTGGCTCCTTTGTGCTCAACGGCAGGTCACTGCTTGGTGGAACCTCAGATTTTCCCTCCTTGGCCTCTGGCAGCTAAAACAGCAAGATGATAATGGAAATGCACAATCTTTCCCCTTCAGACAAGCTAAAATTCATGAGTAGCCCTCTCTGGAAAAAAGCAAAATGTAACAATGCACAAGAAACAGACTTTCTCTACTTTGAACCAAAGGACAGAAAGCTGAGAAAGGTCATTTAGTGCTATGCAAAAAGTTGTCCCTACAGAACCAGAAGTAAAAAATTTCAAAAGAACACCATTTCATGTCACAAAATATAGTACCACTAGCCTAAATTTGTTAGGTCCCAAGCAAAGACAGCGCTGTGTCTGCAGAACAGAAGTGACTGATGCTTCCTTTTCCCCCTGGGAACAGCCCAGCACATGTGGGAGAAGGGACTGGAAAGGCAGTTCGAAGACCACGCTGATGTGGACACAAACTTGGTTCAGGCATGACTACCCTCTGGCATCTGGAAACTCCCTGAACCTTCTTTCTCACTCCTTGGTATAGTTTTCTGGGTGAACCTGTTCTATGGCGCTTCATTATAAGAGCAGATTCTGGCTATTTGCATCTGGAGTTGTGCAGGAGGAGAATGACCTTTGGCTTATCTCTGAAAGGTAATGCAGTCAAGTGGAAAGAGCCCACACTTTGGAGTCAAACTCAAGGCCAAGCCCCAGGTCCATGCCTCAGTTATGTGACCTTTTCAAGCTACCTCACCTCCTTGTGCCCAAGTTTCCTTACCTGTAAAAGGGCAACTCAAACATCCCTAGCATTGAGCTGTAGTAAAGGCCAGAGGTAATGTACATAAAGCATCACAACACAGCAGCTGCACACAGTAACTGCTCAAAAATGGTAACTGTTGCCATTGCAAAATGGCACTACAGACCACGTTCTTGTGCTTGACAAAAAGGTCTTTTGAATAAGTAAAAAATTCACTTCTTTTCAGCCCGTGGAAATGATTACCTCTAGGTCTGTTACCTGTTTGGTCATGCTTTCTTTCTTACGCCAAAACCACCAGCGACCAGATTTCTTTGGCATCTTGTCTTTGACCCAGGATTCGACTGTGGCCTAGAATAATCAACCTGGGTTAGTTTGGGCAATTTATTGGTCATAAAGCCCCAGACAATTTTCTAGCAGCACACATATGACAATGCCTTATTTTGGGATGTAAGAACGTGAAAGATGCTCTCCACATCTCCCAGATTCCTCTAGCATTCTTAATACTGCTGAAAGATGGACACCATCCCATTGCCACAGCAGTGCAGTAGTATGAGGCCAGGCAGTCTGGCTGTGCAGGACCTAGAGGGCTGGTGGGTGGGCAGCTCTCATTTCTCTATCATTAGAAAACGTGGTTCTCACGAGTTATGAGGACCAAATAGTTGGTGGAAAGATTAAAAACAAATCTTGAGGTTCTGCCTAGCAGGCATCTTAGCCACACTCTGACCTACCACACTCATGTCATGCTTCTCTTGGCCACATCACCCTCCTCTTGCTGCTCTTTCTCATATTAATGAGAGAAAAGAATTTGTTTCGTTCATTCCACATTTAACTTACAATTAGGAAAATCTTTCAACCTTTGTACGCAACCAGAAAATGGTATAAATATCTAATAAAAATTACAGAAAGAAGTGGCAGCCCAGCTAGTTTCCTAGAATTTGGGCATGAAATATTTTTAGTGGGTACGCATGGTTCTTTGAATCTTTTATATTAAATATTAAAAAACTCAAATAAGACTTTGAACAGTACCCAGTTCAAAAACATGCATGTATGGATTTTTCTAAGTACTACATGCTGTTGACACTTGTAAGAAGGAATAAACATGGGTCATCTCACCTTAGGCAAACTCTTCTGGAACACTTGCAAGCTAAGGATCATGGGAGCAGCCAACGCCCAGTTATAGTAACTGTGAGAGACAAAAATCAGGCAAAACCATCACACAATGAGAGAAGAGAAGGCGTAGCAGTGAGGAGAGGTGTGAAAATGACATATAAAATTACTTGTTCTTTTCAATAAAAAGATGATCAGCTATATTTTTTGCCACATGAATAACCTTTGCTTCAAGCCAAACTTCTTCAAATAGAGAAGCAGTAAAGTCTATAAAACAGAATAATATTTCAATGCTTTATTTAAAAATAAAGTTGAGGCTTCATTTTCACTTCAAAGTCATTGCCCACTGACGCATTTATGAGATGACAAATTTCATAACAAGAAAAACTAATAGTTAAAAATAGCACATGTAAAAAAACTGCAAGAGTATTTAACAATTACAAAAGCAAGAGTATTTACCGGTTATATATCCGTATTACAAGGTTAGGATTGTCTATAAGTCCAGGGTTTTCTGCAAATTCATGATAAGTGATGATATGCTCCATGAATTTTTCTGCAAGTAAAACAACAATGACCAATTTTGTTGGAGATTACATAAATCCCTGTATGTGATTATTACAATACTCTCTGCACTGCAGAAATTGTGGGCTGAAATAAAATAAGTCCTTTTTAAAAAAAACTAACTTTTTTATATCCATCAAAAGCAAAATGTCAGACAGTTTTTTTCAGGACAAGAAAGAACTTTTTTTCTATCTCCCCCTCTGCCGTCACTCCTTCCGAGTTTAAAAAAAAAAAAACAAAAAAAACAGGAGAAAGATCCATGCCAGACACTTTTAGTAATAGGTTACAGATGTGGCCAGAGAGAGGGGAGGACAGACAGACATACACAAACACACAAAACAATTAATGAAAACTGTAAGTTCTCTGAGGGGGAGAAACTTTACTGGCAGGCAACTGCATAGCTGCCTTACAGCTTTATGTGCATGCTACATTAGAAAAAGCTATCAAAATATATCTTACAAATTGCTTGGAGAAAAAAAAAAACCCAGAATTTGGCGGATCAGGGTCTGCCAAAAAATAAATCCCAAGTTCTTGCAGTGCGAATGAGGATTCTGGGTGAATTTCTGTACCCTGTTCCTAAATCTGCACTCGAATAGATCCAGGCTAATAGAGAAATTTCTCACTTGGACTGTTCTTCCAGGCAATGTGTATAACCATTTCTGCCTCTTCCAATAACAAACTCTACCAGACCATGTTACCAATATTTTTTTTAAAGCATAAATTTCAGATTTTCTACAAATTTTATATTTTCCGTCCACTCCCATATATATTTTTTTAACTGAGGGTTTAATGAGGATTATAAAAAGAATGTGACCTATTTAATTTTGTCCCTAGAAAGAACCACTGGCTAAAACACACTCAATTTCTTATAAAATATAAAGCAAACAGAATAAAGGGATGGAAAAGAAAGAGGCATAATGAGCACCCTGTGACCCAAAAAAGGAAAACTTCAGGAAAACACAGTTCTAAGGCTACACCATGCCTCCTTCAGTGCCTGTGAAGGTGAGAAAAGACAAAAGACGATGGTAGTCATGGGAAGAAAATCTTTCCTTGGAGGAAAAGCAATCAAGGACCACCAGCCAAATGGAGAAAATGTTAAGAGTTTAGTTTAATCAGGAAGGTAAAACAGAAAAGTAGTCATGGGAAGAAAATCTTTCCTTGGAGGAAAAGCAATCAAGGGCCACCAGCCAAATGGAGAAAATGTTAAGAGTTTAGTTTAATCAGGAAGGTAAAACAGAAAAGGCTGAAGGACTGTGGGCAGGTGTGCACGGCGCTCAACCACACCTAGAGGCGCCCGACTTTCCTGCTGAGCTCCTCCTTCTTCCTCCTGAGTAAGCTCTCCTCTCAAGAGCCGACTCTCAAGCCCATGACAGAATGCAATCCTACTTTTTGCCAAAAAGACTATTTACTCAGTGGACAATCAATTTTCAACAATTTCAGGGTGCTATGCTTATGTCTAAGGCCCAGTGCTTTCCAGGAGGGCAGCCGGGCCCTAGTCTCACAAATATTCCCTCTCTCTTTTTTTTTTTTTTGTCTTTTTCGTGACCAGTAAGGGGATCGCAACCCTTGGTTTGGTGTCATCTGCACTGCGCTCAGCCAGCGAGCACACCGGCCAGTCCTATATAGGATCCGAACCCGTGGCGGAAGCGCCGCTGCGCTCCCAGCGCTGCACTCTCCCGAGTGCGCCACGGGGCCGGCCCAATATTCCCTCTCTTTACAGATGCAGCATGATCTGACCCTGGTCACTCAGCAAACACAGCAGCCTTAGAACTCTCAACCTCTTAATCTGAAATGAGAGCCGTCAAGGCACATTCATTCACCAAAGCCACCCACCCCATAAGAGGTACCTTAAATGAGGATCAAAGGGTCTGACATTATAGGGAGATACTTGTTACCCACACAAGATCACCAAGGAATTTAAATACCCTGAAATGGCTAAATGGCAGGTTTTTAATCAAGTGATGATCAGGCTGCTTTCTGAAGTGAAGAGAGGCCACGACTGCCCAGAGTACCTTTAGAAATTTCTCCGTTCTCACTGAGGCCCCCACAAAGAGAGAGGGTGACATCAGGCAGGTCCATGGCAGAATCCGAGAGGCACTCGGTGCCACTATCAGCGGCTGCGCTTCCCACGGACTGCGGAGACTGAGAGCCAGAGAGTGTGTCAGACTCGGGCCACTGCCGGGAGCCAGGGTCCGATTCACTGTGGGCAGGAGACAGAGAAAAAAGATTTGCTTTGTTACAACTTCTATTTCTAGCTTACTGCATGGCTCTCCGGGGGCTCAAACCAAGTAACATATCCTCTAAAAGGGAATAGACGGGCCTACAATCAGACCTAGCTGTTCTTAGATAGTGTTTATAGGATCATATCATAAATGACATTGAAGATAACTTAAATATTGCTACTAAGCAATTAACCGAATATAGTAAATATGTCACAAAATCACTATAGTTGTTCACAAGAATGCAAACATTCCAACCATGGCCTTTCTGATTTTAGTTAAAGGAGTAAAAAGGTTATAAGCATTTATTTACATTTCCACAATGAAAATGACAGGGTAATTAAGAAAAATCTCATGTTTGGAAACCTTTTGATCCTAATTTCCTAGAAAAACCTGTGGTACTACACATATCCTGTAGAAAATTACTATAGTCCAAAGCTATATTCTTTTAAAAATAAGGCTTTTCTAAATTCATTATATCTCAAAAAAGAAAACAGAAATTAAGAGAAAATTCTCAGGAAGCTGGAGCTATAAAAGAAATGTACTGAGGAATGAACTGGAAGTAAACTTTTCTCACAGCAGTCAGAGCCAGAACTAAAGATGAGGTTACTCAATATTCTCATTGTTCTAGATAACAAGGCACAGAAGCCAGGTTTCAGAAGGTGACCATAAGGGAATCCTTTTGTAATGGAGCATGACTTTGAGAGAAAAAGAATAAGGAAACGACACCTTAAGTACCTTGGTCATGAATGCTTACTACTCTACACCTTTTGAATAGGTATTTAATGTCACACTTAAGATACTGTTCTAGAATTTTCAAAGTTATTTTACTCAAAAAGCCAGTATTTTTAATGTTTGATTAAAAAAACACAACCAATGCACAAGATCCAGTGAAGATACATCATCTTCTGAAAACATCTCAAATTTCAACAGTAGGTGGCAGCAGAGTACGGCTGTGGTGCAAATAGAAAGCAGTTTCAAAAGCTAATGTTTTGCATTTAGACCAATGAGAGTTGTCTTTGGAAATTTTCTCTTAATAGCAATGCACACTGACACCACAAAATTGAGATTAATTGGATCAACAGAACGTTCTCCACACTGGAAATGGTAAAAAGCCAAAACCTGTTGGTAAATGGTAACGCAGCAGAACCTGCTGTTACACTGGGGTGGAGGCGCAAGGCCATGCCTCAGAGCACAAACAGAAGACTGCCATGTGTTCACACACGGACATGTCAGGGCGCCCCATGCGGTCAGGTGTGGCCATGTGACCACATGACCAAGTTGCTGATGTGGTTAGAAGAAGTGAACTGTACCCCCTTCCCCAGCTGGCCCTCCCCTGTGTGATCCTCTCTCCTTTCCTGTCTGCTGCTTGTCAGTGTTGGACTCTGAGGCCCTAAGGGGATGGTAGAGCCTCAAGATGGGAGGAGCCTCAAGATGAGAGGAGCCTGAATCTCAGTGTGCGAGGCCTCCCACAACCCAGCAGCACATGAGAACACATGAGAAAGAACTAAACTTCTACTGCCGTAAGCTAGTGAGATACTGAGAGTTACAGCACCTAGTGTCACCCCAGCCAACAACAAACCTAAACACATGGAGGATGTCATCTGATTCAACACATCACCAAATCCACCAGAGCGAAGTGACTTACATTAAAGTTTAGCTATAATTACTATTTGGTAGTAAAGATGATAATGAACATGACAAAACAAATGCTTATAACCACTGTAACTGCCATCTATGTGTTTATGACATGTCTCAAGAAATAATTAGATTGTGAGGTAAGACACTTACTTAGTGAATGAACGGTGACTCTGAAGAGTTAAGCTGTAACAGAGGGAAGTAAGGTCCCACTGCATTAATCACTCTCCATTTTAAAATAGGGAAACTAAGAAATCTGCCTAAGGAATACCAATGTAAGAAAATGATTAAGAACTGGAAATATGAAAGAATGTGATAATTCTAAGCTTACATTTTAACTTTCCTATTGGAATAAAAAAAGAATAGTTTCAGTGCTCTCACCATCACTTCAAATACAGTAGGTATTCTGAGACAAATTTAAAGCACAGAACTAGGAAGGAGTTTTAAGAACCTCCCCAAAATAGCTGTAAAAAATTTAAATATCTTCATGTCAATTCCATCTTTCTATCCCCCAAAAAATGTGAAATAGGTTTTCGACAATTCATTTTGAAGTGTTTAATTATTTATGCCTATGGCTCAGTATATTCAAGTCATACTTCCCATGGATAAAAGTTTTTTGTAACCATAGAGTATTATAATGGAATTCACCTAAGAGTGGAAATGAACTTGGGAGGCAGGCCAAGCCCATTGTATCTGAGGTGTTTAATTATTTATGCCTATGGCTCAGTATATTCAAGTCATACTTCCCATGGATAAAAGTTTTTTGTAACCATAGAGTATTACAATGGAATTCACCTAAGAGTGGAAATGAACTTGGGAGGCAGGCCAAGCCCATTGTATCTGAGGTCCAATTTGAATCATTCAAAGGGGAAAACCGTGAGGGAGGGGCGGGAGGCTACGTGGTAAGTGGAGTGAGCTGCGGGAATGGGGGAGCACAGGCCCCTGGAAGGGCACTTCGCCAGACCCAGCCCTGAGCACAGAAGAGGCCCGGGATCTCAGCCTCTGCAAAGGAGTGAAGGCATTCTTTATAAAATGTTTTCGAATAAAGATGTATTATTTCTTTTATTTTTTTATTTTATTTTTTTTTTGTCTTTTTTCCATGTCCGGCACCGGATCGCAACCCTCAGTGTTGCCCCCGTACCGGACCGGGACCGGCATGAGTTTGCATTAATGACTATAGAAAGTGCTCATCTGAAGTCATACACGCTCATGCAGGTTTAACTACTGTCTCTCCCTTTGTTGTATCAAAAATGTCTTCATAAATAGGCAATTATTATTTCAAATCACTATAGTCCAAACAACACACACCTATTTCTGAGTTTTCCAAAACCTGAAGCAATCATCAGATTTAACTAAAGGACACCAATACCTTGCTCCTTTTCCTCAGATGAAAAAACTAAAATATTTCAGAGCTGTCTACCCTTCAGTACACAAGGAGCACACTACCTTTTAGGGAAATAGAGAGCTGCAACTTCAGGTTCCAGAGCCTTTAAGTCATCGAGATAAATATCATCAGGTCCCTGGTGCTGGCTTCTCTTGTGGACACCTGTTTTTACGTTTAAAAAAAAAAAAAAAAAAAAAATCAGAGGAGTTCTGGTCAAGATGGCGGAATAGACGGTCCCCAATGTCACTCTTTCCCACAAATCAACCAATTTACAACTATAAAAATGTAACATGAGCCAAGCTGGGGCTGCTGGAGCTCAGGGGAAGAGGAGGAGAGACCTGCAGAGTTCATGAAGGTGGGAGAAACCACGATGAGAGAAAGAAAAAGCTGCTCTGAGCGTTTCAGGCTGTGGCCACTTTAATGCTGGAGCTGCAGAGCACATGGAGCAGGAGCCGGCAGAAGCAGTGGCTGTGCCCTTTAGATGGAGTTACTTGGAGGCGGCAGGGGAGAAGACGACTTTGGTGGCCCCCAGGACAGCAAGACCACTAACAGGGTTCCCGTGGACCCAGGCAGGAGTGAGGAGCCAGAACAGCTGAAAAAGGAGAGCCATTCAGAGGCCAGTGAGTCAACACGAGGGACCGCCGCAGGGCCCGTCCCATGGGAAGTGTTTGCGGCACGGGCAGTGGGGGAGACAGGCCCCCTGGGCGAACACTGGGACACAGCAAAGACAGCCGATCCGCCCCCCAATCAGCACAGGACCACTCAGGGGAGACTGGTTGGGAATGCAGAATTGCATGGGATGCAGTTTGATGAAAAAACTCAGGCCCAGAGTCTCTACACAACCCAGGTCTCTGGAGAGCTGAAAGTACCTATAAGGTCAACCATTAAGCCCTGAGCTGTACAAAAAGCTGTCCCTACAGAAACAGCAGCAAAGCAGCAATTTAGCTCAACCACACAGCTCAAGTAGTGGTTCCCACAGGAAGTTCCCCCATGTTAGAGTAAGCAAAGGACAAAAAATTAGTTCTGGCCCAGGCATACCACCAGCACCTTGGGGCCCACCAGTGGACATGAGGTATGGAGCCAGGGGCAGGACCCCTGCCCACAACCACTCACACTGCCAGTGCCTTGGGGTCCACCTGAGGACCCGAGGCATGGAGCAGGGGACTGGACGGCCCTCCCACATCCAGGCACACAAACAATGCCACAGGCCCTGCCTGGGGGCCAGGGACCAGACCCCCTTCCCACAACCAGGCACCCCATGCCAGGGCCTCAGGGCCTGCCTGGGAATCTGAAGTATGGAGAAGAGGACTAGATCCCCCTCCCACAACCAGGCATACCATGCCAGTGCCTTGGGGCCCAACCAGGGACCCAAGGCATGGATCCGGGGATCAGACACTCTCCACAACCTGGCACATTGCCAGCACCAAGGAGCAGGCCAAAAACATCACCTCTATGTAGGTGACCCACCATAGCCACCACAATAACCATGGCTGCCATAAAAGCAGCTAGATTCCACAACCACCATGCAGATGGTCCGCCAGCCACTGAAGTACATTGACACAAGGAGAGTCATCAGCAGAGATATAGAAAAAAGAAGAGGATGTCTCTCTCCACAAAGCCCACTTCACAGTGACCGAAGAAGCATCTGCTCTATGATAATAGTGGGGGACCTGATCACACCTCTCTGCACTGGACAGATCATCTAGGCAACAAATCAACAGAGTAACCATTACTCTTTCAGGAGAGGAAATCTAGGGTAATTAGAGGTGGGAGGGAGAGGGAAATAGGGAGAGATTGGACAAGGGGCATAAAGAATAATTACGATTTGTAACAATACATATGCTAGTAATATCGATTTGATCAACATATCTCAATGTTGAACCCCCAAAATATGTATAATCAATTTTGATTCAATAAATATTAAAAAATATATATATATATCAGAAGTAAGAATTTAGTTATTCATTTGCAATGCTGAAAGAAAACAAAGGTTTGCAAATAATAAGACTGACCATGATTTGAGCAGGGTTTTATTTTTTAAAATGTCAATTAACCTTTTCACTCATGTTGGTTCTCAACCATCCATGTCAATGGACGAGAAATTCAGTGCTCAATAAACATATGTTGATTTATTCTTCTTTCATTTACTGTTATATGAATAATCCTGGCCACTACATAATTTACATATGGTAAAGTTTTAAAAATACTTATAGGTAAGAACAAGCATGACCAAACTTGAAGCAATCACCTGCGCTAAGAAAACCATGAAGGGAAGGTTGTTGGGGAACAGGGTATTCATGTGGTGCCCAAGTATCAACCCAAGTATCACCTTTTCTAACTGCACAAGGACAGAAATCCTTTACAATGGATAGATCTGACAAGCAACACCTTTAACCACGATCACACTCAGCATCCGTAATAATGGGTCATCATGAGACAATATGAAATATCCAATATTTCCTATAATCTTCCCTTCCACTGTTACTAGTCTGAAGTGAGGTATGCAAAATGTGTTTAATAATATGTAAAACACACACCACTTACTCTAAAGAAAATGCAAAATATCTCATTAATAATTTTTATATTAATTACATATTAAAATTATAGTACTTTGGATTTACTGGCTTAGAATATATTACTAAACAATTTCACTCATTTATTTTAGTTTTTTTAAGTGGCTATGAGAAGACTTCAAATTACATATGTGGCTTGCATTACATTTCTACTGGACAGTGCTGTTCTGGAGCTAACATCAGTTAAGGAAAAATAAGGATGTCATTTTGAAAAAAAAAAAAAAAAAAAAAAAAAAAAACCTGACACATCTAGAACATCAGAGAAGAGTCTGCAAGACAACCTGCTGGGCTCCTTAAAAGGTCACTATCATGGGTGTAGAGGGGGATGGCGGGGTGTGTGATGAGAGAGAGAGAGAACATGGTGGGTGCTATTCTAAAATAAAAAAAGATTATAGAGACATAAAAATCAAATGCAACATATGAACCTTGACTGGATCTTGGTTTGAAAAAAAAAAATCAGCTAAAAAATATTCTCAGTACACTTGGGGAAATATAAATGTAGGTTCTTCAAGAAGACAATGGTACTGCCTGCTGTGCAGAAAATGTTCTTATTCTTAGAAGGTGTATCTTGGGGTATATTTTAGGGTGAAAAGTCATAATGTCTGCAACTTTGTTTTCAAATGGTTTAAAACAATAAAGAAACCGTATGTACTTGAGTGAGAGAGTGAGAGAGAGAGAGAGAGAGTGAGAGAGTGAGAGAGAGAGAGAGAGCGCGAGAGAGAGAGCGCGAGAGAGAGGAAGGCAAATATATATAAAAATTTTCATAATAAAAAGTTAGAGAGAGAGAGTGAGAGAGTGAGAGAGAGAGAGAGAGCGTGAGAGAGAGAGCGCGAGAGAGAGGAAGGCAAATATATATAAAAATTTTCATAATAAAAAGTTGGGGGAAAAAAGAATGAGGCCAAGAGAATGGTGGCCTCTCAGTTTCCTATCTCTAGTCAGCTGCTACACTACGTGCTGAGAAGAGGGGTCTTATTTCCTAGACTAAAATGAAGAATACACCTGAGAAGAACTGGACTTTCCTCTGTAACACTTCTTAGAGCGGAACACGTGGTTATGGGTTTTTGGTGGAAGAGCAGGTGCTGAGTTAAGCCACCACCAGTTGGATACTCAGATTTGGCCACAAACACCCTTGACAGTCACATTCTTTTATTTCAGATAAATTATTTTGTAGTTACCTTGAATGTATTGAATATCTATTAAGTCAGTTTGTGATTATCTAACCTCTGATGTTAGAAATTTTTAAAAAGTGAAATAGGTATTTGGCTCTGTTTGACCATGGTAATTTTAGGTAAGGTTTCACTTCCATAAAAATAGGATCCAAGGCTAGTGTTCAGCAAGTGTGTGTGACCTGGCTCTTACTGTACTGAGTAACAATGGATAACTTTATATTTTTAAATAATAAAGATGCTCTGACTTATTAAACTTATATTCCCCACAGTGAGACACAGCTGTTGAGCTTAGAGCTGGACCCTATCTTCTCTACTTGATTTAGAGGGAGATCATCAGTGAAAGAAGACATCACATACTACTAATTAGTATACATTTATTTTTATACCATGCCATTGCAAAAAAGTATGTAATTTGGCCTCAACTAAGCAGATGTTTCAGGTGAAGATATTTTTTCTCTAATTTTTTCTGTTTAAACATGTTTATCACTTAGGATTCTACTTCACTTTATTGACATACCTACTTAATAAAGTTAATTTTACTCATTAACTGATTAGAATTCATTCATTCGTTTTCTCAGTAAATGCTTCTCAAGGGCCTGAGTAGGAACAGTCAGGAGAAAGTCATGAGGAAGTTGGGTCCTGCTCCAGTGGAATTTACAGTGTAACGGGAAAGCCACAGTACAGTTACCACAATAAAGTGTGTGACAGGTTCTGGTTGGTGAATACAAACACAAAGGTAGCCATCACATACTATTTGAAACACTGAAATAATTTACCATCTAAATTCAGAGTACCTAATGCCAATAAATAAACGATTACCTTTTTTCTTTGACGGTGAGTCTACTTTAGCAGCTGGTTTGGATGCTGGGGGCGCCTCAGCTAAGGATGGGCTGGGAAGGTGGTCTGCATCTAACATATATGAAATTGGAGGATTCTCAAGAGGAGGCTCAAGAAGTTCTGTAACAGAAGTTGCGCTGCTCAGCCGCTTGCACAGGGCTCTGGGTTTGGGTTTCACTATGGTACAGACAGTGTCTTCGACAGAAGCAGCCTTCTCAACTTCACTAATGAGGTTGTCCTCACTGGGAATTACCCGAAAATGGGTATTTTCTGATGGCGTAATCATAGCTGTCCTAGGATGATGGTCAGATCTGTCTCTTTTGCTGACCTAAAAAAGTTGCATTGTTTAAAATAATTACTTTCAAAGGTATTTGTTATAATGTATTTCTTAAGATGGTAATTGTTCATTTTATTTATAAATTAACACATTCATTAAATATATTATTTTGTATGTGTAAAATATTTCATAATTAAGAAGTGAGAAAAACTAATAATTATATTTTGTTCAATATCATGACATTTATGAAAGAGGTATATTCACAAATGTTCTACCACAAAAAATTAAATACTGGAGAAGACTGAGAAAAAATGACACTTTTCAGATACTCAGAGGTAGAGAAAATTCATTTTGAGGGAGAAAACATAGACTACTAAATGAAAATTTAGCCCTGCTTGGACTACCTCAAGGCTCTTTTAAAGCAACATAAAGATGGGAAGTAAAGACTAAACTCAATCACAAATTAAGCAAAATATATATATTTTTAAAACTAAATTCAACAGAGGACCTAAATATTTTCTCTTTCAACCAATGTACCTTCCTAGTTCTATCATTATGAGCTGGCAAAAAAACCTTTAATAATTTCCTTTTTAAAATTTCTGTGTGGATATTTTAGTTTCCTTTTGATGCCTTTTAAAATTCCTTACATTAATTAATAATCAACATGATTATTTGCTAAACAGAAACACACACAAAATACTGATTCCTTCTGTTGACCACATGGTGGCACTACCATCATTTATATTCGCATGAGCTCAGTCAGAAATTGCCTCCCTTACTCATGGACGGAGGGACTTCACAAGCCGTTAACCAGACACATTCCACGGGCAAGTAAACTCTAGTACCTTGGTGGACTCTGGGAACCCGCCCCATGTCCACTCCATGTGAGACTCTGATCTGAGCAGGCTCTCGGTGGGTTTCACCTCCAGCTCTGAATCGCTCTTAGGACACACTGCCTGGGAGTAAGTGCTGCAAATACCAGAACAAAGAAATATGATGACTTTAAAGTCAGAAAGACTTCAGTTTTGCTGAGCTTGACAGATTATAAGAAATATAAGCATGAATACATCAACTCTATCCTGAAGATATAAAGACTGTATTGAAGACTATTTCTCCCACTTGAGTTCTTTAATAACAATAAAAGCAATGCCAACTAGGATTTATTGAGGACTTGCCAGATCCTCTGTAAACACTTCATAACCATTATCTCACCTGTTTCTCACTAGAAATCTATGAGAAAGGTAATTTTATAGAAAAGGAAATGCACTGAAAGGCCGGTAAATTAACATAACTAATATGTGAGATTTGACGGCAGAATAAAGAGTATGACTCCATGTTTTTTTACTATATTATTCACATTTACAGTCAATTGTTGATACTAAAAGATTAGAACTTAAGAACTGTAGATGGCCAAATTCTACACTGATTATAAATCTACACATTGGCCAACACTGTTAGTATAAGCCAGATCAAGTTTAGGAACAAAATGATCATTGAGAGAAAAGGTTCACATCGATGTTGAATGTAAACATTCAGTTCCTCTATGAGAAATGGGAAATATCGGGCTGAGCCCGTGGCGCACTCGGGAGAGTGCGGCGCTGGGGGCGCAGCAGTGCTCCCGCCGCCGGTTCGGATCCTATATAGGGATGACCGGTGAGCGCGGTGCGGCCGGTCTCAAAAAGGACAAAAAAAAAAAAAAAAAAAAGAAATGGGAAATATCATTACTGTCTAATAACAGACAAGCTATTTAATTTATCCTCCTTCCTCTTTCCTTTAAGAAACCAAGAAATTTCAAAGATACTTACGTGTCTAAAGGGGACCAATCTCCATCAGACAAGGGGTAGTGATCCCCAGAATGAAACAGCAAAGG